GGGTGATTGTCCTCCAGCAGAGTCATCTTCCTCTAATAGTTCAAAACACAAACAGTTGTGATGAAACTGCTGACAGCAATAACCTTATTTATGCACTGCAATGCAACATGGGAAAAAACATTATTATGAAGGTAGAACATCATAGCTAAATTTAGATGATTTTATGGCCTGATTATTATTGTATTTCATAAACTGTTCTTAAATGCTAAAGGTGCGATCAGTGTGGGAAAATGTACACTTAAATGGATCATATGTGAAAATCTGAGAGACTGACCCTGGAGCTTGCCCTGCGGTCTGCATAGCAGGCCCACAGCAGAGTGATCAGGTAGAGCCCAAAGAAAGCACACAGCAGGGCCAGCACCACATAGTTTGAGGTCACGGTGGCAAATAGCTCTGCCGTGCGAGAAATGTCCACATGGTTTGGCATCACAAAGAAGGAGCTCCCAAAGAGAGTGAGGTGGTTACACAGACACTGTGTTCGGTTTGGACTGCTTTTCTCTCCCACCTGAGACAAAGAGAGCAAATCGATTTATTTTTATGTCACTTTTACTTCAGGTTCTGTACATGCAGGGTCAAAACTCACCTGGCAGCCATCAGTGCTCCACTTCTTCTTGTTTGTGTCCCAGTACAAGCACTTGCTCATAAAAGAAGATATCTTCAGTGTAATGCCTGGCTCCCAAGTGGAGTTGTAGAGTCTGGCGTCAGCATACCATTCTCCAGGTGTTTGCTTAAACATCTCTGGTGTTATCATCCAGCGATAGCCTCCTGTTGCAACAACAATTTTATCAGTCACACTTTCTTTTCTGTACTAGAGTAGAGAGATTAAAAAAGACAGAAATCAGTGGTGATTGTATGTACCATTCAATCAATTCATGCATGTTACAGTTACCTGCTAGGCTCAAGATAGTTTTGTTTCCAGAGGATGTGTCATTAGGAGGTGACCCATGAGCCAGCATAAGAACCAATGAAACATTAGCATTCGGCTCCACAGTAAGGAAGACAGTCATATACGGGTCTGTGATGTTGAATGAAGTCAGCACTTTGCTGTTTTTCTCTAACTCAACAGTGAAATTCGTCTGTGCTCCAGCATTGGGACGAGGCAAAAATATCTAGTGATAACAGACAAAGCAATATATTAGAACTATTAAAATCCAACTCGAAAACGTCTGTTTAGAATGTGAGCAAAAAAAAAGCTCAATTAATGCTGCATAAGAGGATCTCAAAAGTGTCTTTGTTAATTATATTTCAAAAAAGGACATTTGACAGAGCTTGACTTCAATATATTTGTTGCCATTATTATTTGTTATACAACATGTTAATCTATTAATACATTAAATGTAAAAAATACAGTTTTAAAATGTTTGAGTTTGAGTAACAATGATAGAAAACACAGCAGCAACAAATTCTCCAGTTTTTTTAGCTTGTTAGCTTCATTTTGTCAAGCACTTTGTATCCCTGTTTTAAAAGTGCTTTATAAACAATTGTACTGAGTATCTATAAAACAGGGTTTCTAAAGCTTCTATGTTTAAAGAAAGTGTGCTAATTGTAAGCATTCAGCAACTTCTTGTCTAAAATTACCGTTAGCAAGGAAGTGTTTGATTGCTAACATATCTGATAGTGTTATACAACACTAGTGAAATATGTTGACTCTTAGCTAATGGTTATTTTAGCTAGTTATTGGTTAGACCTTATGTTGGCGGTGATCTGATGATAGCCTATGAGATATTAAAGTTGTTGAATAACCTTTGAATATGACCAAATGTCCCATCAGATTGTTACCCATTATCTTTTCAGTTGTTGATCACTCTGGGAGCTATGAAATTATAACAATTGTCCCTTTCTGCCTGAAGAAGATCCTTTGGATCTAAACGTTACCCTTAATAAATTGGCTCATTGAGAGCTGAACAGTGGGCGGACCTTTCTCTTTTTTCTGCAGTTTATACTTTATTTTTCTGCACCTGTATGCAACTTTCTTGGATATGTGCACACCAGTGTTTTTTTGGGGTTTTTTTTTATCTTTTTGCAGTTTTATTACACAATAGTCAATTCTCTGGTTATCTATACCTCAATTTTCTCTGTGAGGTTTGCCAGTGTTATGGCTGAGGTTCCATCATTGATTAAAATGTTGAAGACAGATCCTGTGATGTTGTCATCTGACGGATGAGGATTATTTGAGAATGTTGTCAACTGGGAAGGAGAAGACCATTGTTAATAAGGATGACAACAAAGATGCATTCAAAATTTTTGCCGGTAACACACACAGACCTGAGTGGTGATGGAGCTGAACCCGTCGAGCTGAGTCTCCATTGCTGAAAATGAAGGGAATTTGACAAACTCGCCTTCAGCCTCTGAACCTATCACTGCATTACCGAGGTCAATAGGTGGGTTACTTGGGAAATGGAAATAGAAATAGAAATGTTATACAAATACTGCCATATTGTTTTTATGATAAAAGTAATGTATCATATGAGCGATACTCTGACAGAGAACACCAACCTGTTCTGATAGAGGGTGCCTGTTGTGTGCTTGAGGATAATTTCTTTTTCCTCACCCAAAAGTAAAGAGATAGTACGAATGATCTCAAAGACTTCCTCAAACAAAGCCTGTAGGGGGGAAACAAAATGCAGCCTCATTCATCAGTAGCAACTATAATGGCGACAAAATGTGTAAGATGAATATGTCACAGTAACATTCATTTGACCTCACCGTGGGGTTTGGGTTCAACTCGACGTCACATTTTTTAATTGCGAGGAGGAGGATGCCAGTACTACATTTGATAATGCGAGTGACGGTATCCCTGTTTTTCAAAGCAAACTCTGCTGTCAGTTGTTTTGTGACTTCCAACAAAGTCTTGATGAATTGTTCCTGTGGAGGAGAAAAATCAGAAAGCCTTTGATGTATCAATACAAACAAAAAACGTAATACTTTACGCCAGCACTCCATAGTCAGGATCCCTACCCTTGTATCGTCTTTCGGCTCCCCTGCAGTTGTTTCCATCCGATAAAGCTCTGCATCAACATCCTGTCTCAGAATAAAACAGAACTTGGGAACTTGGAGTTACAATTAACAAAAAGACAACTCATTTCATGGGTCAAACAGTCTGTAGGCTAACTTTATGAGGTAGCTCTTACCTTGAGAATATCGTTAATGTTTGCAATATTCCTCTTGAGCCCTGAAAGCAAAATGTGTTTCAGTTTGTTTTGATTATTTTATTTTATTTCATTGATGATGGAAAACATGAGAAACAAAATGTTCAAATCTAACTTACGAGATCTGTTTGGATAGGTGGATGCTATCATCTTCTGTTAAAAAACAAGAAAAACACAACATGTATGACAATTCAGTCGAAATGTTTGTATGGCTTCTTACTGACCATGAAATGTAACTCTTACCTTTTTGTTAATTTTAGTCCCAAAAGCTTAGGAACAAGAAAAAAAATACAGTTAGCAGGCAACAAATTGCAGTCCAGGAAAAAAAAGACAATTTCTTATATATTAATTCTTGCAGTTGTGCTGAATCCAAAAGATGAGGGAAGTAGAGGAAGACAGAAATGAAAGATAGATATCAAAGGAAGGACAGAGTTGAAGCAGCGTTTAAGAAGTGGTTATCGCATACTGTGGGTGCAGAGGAAGCCTCGTCTCTGGTTGCAGTCAGATGTTCCGATGAGCTCAAGAGGATTCAGCTTCATGTATGTGCAGTTGTCCTTTGAAACGTTCACATTTTCTGTTATGAGAGAACAAACACACACTCACCACATAAGGAAGGTTGTATTTGGGACATTGCTTAGTACAACAGATACATTACCCTCAACCTAAACAAGACAAAGTAAAATTTAAGACATTCAGCATGAACATCAATTCAGGATATAATTTTAATGACTATTTGTAACTTTTTAGTTTTAAAAATAGGGACATTTGGCCATCAGTTAGGATTCTCAGGCCCCAATGTAAGGCTTTTAAATGGCTTTTAAATAACCTAGAAGCCAAACATATTTAATGAACAAAGGCATTACAAACATGAAGGAGCTTAATTCAAGAGGCTGGAAGCAGTTAGTGTTTTGTAATTTTGCTAAATAAATAGTTGGACCAAATTTACAAAGCATAATTTTTCCATTAATATTTTGACAGTGTACTAATTTGTAGCACTACAAAACGTTTTAAGCTTAAACAACTACAGTTATCCATTAAGAAGGTCGGATTAACATACAACTTGTACAGAAGTTTTTTTTTTTGCGGGGAAATATTACTTACTAATGATTGGTTTCAGGGCCTTCCCTTGGACCCCCTTTCCCAACCAAAAGGTAAAGCTGCTGAAGTTTCTCTTGCTCTGGATGTTCTTTAGGAAGATTTTGTTGGGCTTGTTCAGCATCTGAAGGAGTTCTCCACCTCGGTGTTCACAGCTGCTCTTCGCCTTTGACCAAGTGTTGGATCCCCCAACAAAGTCAAAGCAGACATTTCTGAAGACAAATTCACACAGGGCAGGGAAGCCATTCCCTGGACAGGCCTCAGACTTTCCGGACAAAGATAGAAATCCAATTGAAATCAACAAAAAGACAGAGGTTCGGAGAAACAAGTCCATGGTTATTGTTTTGCACAGGGCTAGAGCGCATAGTGCTGTAAGAGCCTTGGCAGAAACAGCAAATGATACCAAGGTCACTTCCGTCAGTCACATGAAAATGAGTTTACTTTCTCCAGAAAAACTCTGCATAAGTTGTCAATGGATTAGGAAAATCACTGCAGACACTCAAACAAGATGCAAAGTGGAGGAGTCTCCTGGCATCACTAAGAACAAACAAACTTAACTTGGCTCTGCTCCTGACTAACACAAAGGTTTCCCCTTTTTATCAATGGAACAATACTGTTTATTATCATGTTGTATGTATTGAAGTAAGTTTAATAAAGTGTCCCCTGATTTTGTATTGTTACAGGGGAGTACCTAACCTACAGCAGCCAATTTCCCTCCTACTCCTTACCAAATTTAGCAAGGAATTCTCGCGAGATTATACATAGGAAGCTGTTCCCGCGTGTGTTTGTGTAACAATGTTAGGAAATGCATGCAATGCCCTTTAATGCAATGACAAAACTGCGTCCATGGCGGGACATCTGAAGGTAATTTCAGAGAGCGTTTAGACAATATGTTGTTTCAAGATTCCGATTAATTTGAACGCATCTGAGACAGTTGTGTGTCGCTGCTTGCTAATGGTGGCTCATATTGCTCCGCCTAATATCAAACCAGGAAACATTCACGTGTTAGCTTTGCTGTGACTGATCAACACAGAAACTCTGCGTTAGTTGTAGTCTTTGCTGCCAAACTCTCTAGTTCTTTGAAAGTAAGAAGGGTAGGTGTAAGAAAACTGCAGACAAACAGATTTTTTTAGGTTGCAGCTCTGCGAGGTTTGCTGCTATAATTTAGAGTAAAGCATTCAGTGCTTCATATTGGTCTCAGTTTACATGCAAACAAATAAACATTCGTGCAGACCAAAACAAGTCGCTATAGCCCCCAATGCGGACTTCTTTATATATGTCAAGACCAGACGGATGGTGTTAAGGCACTTTGCTGTTTTATTCACACAAACTAAGAAGTACCCAAGTGGTGAGGTGATCTTTTGTGGTCCTCACACTTCACTGAAGTGTAATCCTTTTTTTTTTTTTTCTTCTGAAGGCACAAAAAAACATCTTGTGGCAATGCACATAATCACACTGTGTTTTCATGTGACTTACTTGTGATAAGATGGAAACAATGAAATCATAATGCCTGATTTGTTTTGGGGACCTAGATAAAACTACCCACCATTAAGTCTTGTTATTAAAAGAAGTTATCTGTTTTTAACTTCATATTGCATATATCACCTGTGTATGGCATTGTTTATTGTATGTTGTTCCAGTTAATGAGTAAGTATGTATTGAAATTGAAAATGATGTACAGGGAAAACTGATTGAAAGATATTTAAAAACAGACACATTGAACAACCACTTAGCAGCTACGGAGAGATATTTCTTTCGGAGGCAGGAGGACAAAATAAGAGTGAGTGCTGAAAACTAGTTGGCCAATAGCCACAATAAGTATTTTAAATGCATGAAAATATTTCTTCGTAAGTGCTGGATTTTCAGATAGGCAGGTGTTGTGCTATAGTTTGCTCTATCTGACACAAATGCTTGAATTGAACTTCTACAGGTCTATTCACAGTTGTTCATGTGTAAAGTGAAACTTCTTAAGACACAGATTAATTAATTTATTTCCCCTGCTTTTGTCAACAGAAGCAGCTGAAAGATGCAGTAAAAATCATCAGCTCCGGTAGCCTTCTCTTTGCCTCTTACCTCACTGCGGTTGGGGATGAGCGTTTCTATGCCAACCAGCTGATGCCCTTGCTCCAGAGGATTGTGGGAGCAGAGACAGCACATGTGTTGGCAGTGAAGATGATCGGTCTGGGTCTGGTTCCTCTGAACCACTATCAGGACCCGGCATCATTGGTAACTTTGTAGCCTTACTTTTTGCTCAGTTAAGATTCTCACTGACATCATAATAGAAACAAGAGCAACGGCTGTTCACACCAAGAACAATCACAAACATCCACACTGATGATAAATCCACTCTGTGTCATAACAGCAGCTTAGAAAAGGGAATTGATGTCATCATGTAAATGTTTATGGTGCACATTGACACTCGAAGGAAATCAGGAGGAAATGGGTTCACGTTCACAAAAATGTTTTAACATGAGACTAGCTGCAAGAATCCAACATTCTGATTATGTATGATTATGTATAATTGTCTAAAACAATATGTCTTTTTGTAACAGTTATAGCTCCTGATGGGACAGATTTAAGACTTTATTTTCTTTGTCTTCATGTATGTGCAGGAAGTGAACGTCCTGGGCCTGAAGTTCAAAAACCCTATTGGGATAGCGGCGGGTTTTGATAAGCATGGAGAGGCTGTAGACGGATTGTACAAAGTTGGCTTTGGCTTCGTTGAAGTGGGCACAATCACTCCCAGGCCTCAAGAGGGGAACCCTAAACCACGTGTGTTCAGACTCACTACAGATCATGCTATTATTAACAGGTAAATATCACGATATGCTTTGTCTAAGGAATAGATCATTTAAACTGTATGTTCACAGTAACATGTAGAGAAATAGTAAATGGACTGCACTACTTCTGACTAGAAAAACACTTGTAATGTACACTTTGAGGGCTGGACATTATGGTTGTCTTACCAACGATTTATCCGTATTATTGTTTTCATGTCTACATACACTCAAATTACATTTATTGTAAGACTGTTTTTTAGTATGTTTTTTTTCTGAATCTTTAATTCATTTATTCATCTATTTCCATTTTATTCAATCCTGTCTTAGCAGGAACATTGCAAAACAAAGGCAAAAAACTAATTCTGATTAAAGTAGTACAAAAGCTTTTATATATGATGATTATGAACAGCCTCCTTTTCTGTTCCATCTCACAAAGAGCACATTCAGCTTATATAACAGTAAAGGAGCCACATTAGTCTCAGTTCATCTTTGAATCCTTAAAACCGAAAACAAGAGCGGTTGATGGGAACGAACCTGTATAATGTTCTTTTTCACGCCGCTCATTATGTCCACAGATTAGGCTTCCCACGTGTTAGCTTCTACTGACTCCACAGCTATCAAGCTGTGAAAACGGGATCGAGGTTTACCTAATTTTCTTTAAAGCCTTGAATAAATTAACTTAAAGAAACCAGCTCTCTCCTGATTCTTCTGCCTCATTACACAAAATGAAATTGCCAGTTGCTTTGCATGTAGCTCTTTAGCACTGCGATATTTTGAAAACGTTTGCTTTTCCGTGTTTATTACACAGCTTTGTTGAGCATTCAGATCTGGTTTGTCAGTTAAAACAGTCTTCTGTTTTTTTTTCCATTTAGCTGACATGAGAAAAGACTGATGTTGGGGATGCAGTCTTTAGAAAATCATAAAGAGCTTGCTGAAAAAGAAACCAACACGTTTCAATAAATGCAACGCCAACATTTTTTTAAATAATGAGGTCAAAGACTTGAAGTGTGTAATCCGTAAAAAGAAATGTCTCAGTATAATAACGACTGAAGCTTTGTCCTGAGGAAGTGAGATTATCATTGTTATTGATTGGTGAGTTTAGTTGTTTGTTGTTAGGGTAGCTTGTAGCAGGGTGGTGACAGTAAGTTTTTGCTTAAATACATTTTGATACAGTATTTATATTTTGTTCTTTTCAGATATGGATTCAACAGTTGTGGGTTGGAAGACGCACGACAGAGGCTGACAGCAAGACAAGAAACACAGAAAGAGCAAACTAAAGGTAAGCAGACAGTACTTCTGTTCTCTACACTTGTCTTTATGAGGGAAATATAAAAACAGTTTTGTTTTTGTGTCTGTCGTGCTATTATCATATTTCATTAAAGAGTGGTTAAATACGCCATTCATCTCCCTTTTAATGACCTTGACCTTCCCCTTGTCTCTCATTTTATTGTGTCTTCTCCACGCCTGTTTACAGCCTGTGTAGCACTCCAGCAGGCTCTGCTCCTTTTCAGTCACGTGTCCGATGATGCAGCCTGTGTTTCTGCACGTCTGAACTTTTCCTATTTGTGTATGTGTTTGTGTTCGTTTGCATACGTGCGTGTCTCTGTGTTTATAGCCGGCCTTCCCTTGGGCATCAACCTGGGGAAGAACAAGCTGTCCCAGGATGCGGGGGCAGATTACCTCGAGGGAGTGAGAGTGGTGGGCGCTCTGGCTGACTACCTGGTGGTCAACATCAGCAGTCCAAATACGCCAGGACTCAGGGATCTACAGGGCAAGGCTAAGCTCCACCAGCTCCTACATACGGTACGACGGTTCAAAGGTTCATCCAATAATTGAACCTAACAGTAACACGCAGGACAGTTGACATATGAGCACAATACAAATAAATACATAATTTCACAGAGAAAGATAATCTGTGATTTTCTGTCATAAAATATGTGCTGCTGAAAGCCAATCTCAACTCAAGCCATAGTGCTGCTGATCTAAGGTGCATATCAAGTAGAGGTGGGAAAAAAATCAATTCATGTAAAAATCAAGATTCTTCTCTTCTAAGATTTACAATCGATTCATAACTTCCAAAAATCAATATTTTTTTTGGTAGATTTAAAAAAAATAGATTTAAAATGTGTTTTTGGGCTTATCAGTAACTCCCTGCTAAGTGCTAATGGTAGCTCTTTAACTAAGTAGAATGCCAAATAGAGAAATTCAGCCATTCTCACAGATGACTGAAGGAGATTAACTAATTCATAAATAGACTTTGAACCAATGGCTCAATGAATCCAGAATCGTTTGAAACGAAAATTGATTCTGAATCGAATCGTGACCCCAAGAATCGAAATCGAATCGCGAGACACCCAAAGATTCCCAGCCCTGATATCAAGGCATTTCAACAGGGTCAAATTTAAAGGTAGAGATGTGTTAAAGCTTGCTGAGGTAAAAAGTTGATCCTATACAATGTTTTTGAGCCCATTACAATTAATTTAGAAGGCAGACATATCTGCACAGCGCCATTCTTTCACCATGTTGTATCTCTCTCTGCCCCCCTACTCTTGTGTCACTCACATTTTTAACTGAATCTGCTCAGGTGTTGAAGGAGCGCGATGCCCTGCAGGGAGGATGCAAACCTCCAGTGCTGTTGAAGATCGCTCCTGACCTCACTGCACAGGACAAACAGGACATTGCTGATGTTGTCGATGAGGTTGGTAGGGTGTTGTCGCCATTTAATTTTCTAACTTTACCTTTGATTTTGTTTGTAAGTTGTTTTTTTTTTGGGGGGCTTTTTGTGCCTTTATTGGAGAGATAGGATAGTGCATAGAGTTGGAAATCAGGGAGAGAGTGGGGAATGACAAAGGAGCCACAGGCTGGATTTGAACCCAGGCCTCCCGCTTGGAAGACTACAGGCTCCATACATGGGGCGCACGCTCTAACCACTGCGCCACCAGTGCCCCTTCTGGCTTGTTTTTAATTCAATGCTTATCTTTATTTATAATGTAATGACGTTTTGATTTTCAGTTTTAGCATTCCTTCTTTGTTTTTAATTTGTAGCCAAATAATTCTTGTAAAATTGGGCGCTTATCTGCAGAGTCTAGTTTATTGCTTGAATATTTAAATGAGTAATTCCTATATCTTGACAAATTAAATTAAAAACATCCGGAATCCAAACTAACTACATAAAAACAGTAAGATAAGAAACTGTAATTTAACACCCACAGAACCTCCTGCACATGTAAAAACAACTAAAAGTCAAGTTCAGGGTTTCTTCTCTGTGCAGTGTCACAAGCTTGTATGCAAAACATACACACACCCAAGGGTGCAGCCATCATCTTGTTTATACAGCATCTATATAAACAGAGTTAGAAAGTGCTTTAAAAGTGCAGGAAAAAATGAATCATATACACTGCAGGAATTATAGTCACATAAAAGTGAAATAAACAAATAGAACTGATGGTATTGGGGAAAAAAGAGAAATAGAAAATACAATTATTTCCAAAAGTCATTCAGATGCAACTGTTTTATAAGGGATTTAAAAGATGAAACGCATTCTTCTTTTTTGAACACACGGAGTGTTATTGGAGTGCAGAGGAGACAAACCGTAATGGAAAAGACATTAAGGAGAGGCAACAAAGCACAATTTAAGCACTCTCTGTTCCTCACAGTACATTTAACATCGGTGATCTGTGAAAGTCAAATGGCCTTTACTCACTGTCCCTCTGACTTCCTGTCATCTCCTTGATGTATGCTCTTGTGTTTGCAGCTGGGAGTGGATGGCTTGATGGTGACAAACACCACGGTGTCCAGACCAGAGACGCTGCAAGACGCAAACAAGGCTGAGGTTGGTGGGCTCAGCGGCCAGCCACTCAAAGACCTCTCTACCAGCACTGTGAGAGAGATGTACAACCTCACCAAAGGTACTTTTACAATCAGCAGTATATTCTGTTCATGACATGTACATATATCATATTCACTTATGATAATGTTTTTAAGGTAAAGTGCCAATAGTTGGAATCGGAGGTGTGGCCAGTGGGCAGGATGCCATGGATAAGATCCGCGCCGGTGCATCGCTTATTCAGCTTTACACAGCTTTCACGTACCGGGGCCCCCCCATAGTGACCAAGATAAAGAGAGAATTGGAACAACTTCTTAAGTGAGTATTTTGTTTGAAAGTCAGGATCATTCATTTGATAGAGGTTTAATGGTATTAAGACGGTTCCCTTTAATTTAATAATTAAAAGGGTTTATTACACCCGTGATCTTAATAGCTTAAATCTGTAAATGCAGCACTAAATAGCCCGTCGTATAAGAAGCATGAGCAGTCAGGCAGGTTTTAGACATCTAAAGCAGATCCGAAAGCGGAGACTTTTTGAATCATTAATGGAGAGATGTCAGAGTGGGGCTGCTATACACAGGGAGCGCGCCAGAGCTGTTGGGGGTTCTGTGCCTTGCTCAATGGAATATTGGCAGTACTTACAAAATGACCTGGCACCTCCAGCTACCAGACCAACTTACAAGTCCGCTCCGGACTTGATCCGGCAAACCCCCGGTTCCTAACCCAAGTCCCTACAGACTGAGCTACTGTCGTCCCCATAAGTTAAAAATAGACATCACATTGTATTTCCTGGGTGCTAATAAGACCAGAGTTAATTATACAAACTCACTATGTCAGACTATCGTGGACAACTTGGGTATGTTTCAGCAACTCTGAAATTACTTCTATTATTAAAAATATGTATATAACCTTTAATGTGGCATTTCTCAACAGAGTTTAAGCCTCATCCGTGATATTTGACAGCCATGTTTTTCAAAGTTGTGGGGAATAAGACTATTGTGCTCAACATAGCGAATTTCATTCTTGAACAAAAAAGTATTCTAATTCCTCTTTTTCCTAGGGAACAAGGTTTCAGCAGCGTCTCAGAGGCAGTGGGAGCAGATCACAGAGGAGCAGGTGTGGCGACTCCTTAACTGATCCTTCTGAAAGAGATGGTAAATGTTAACACAGACTCAGCACCTGTAGCTGCCGTGTCCTCAAACCAGAAAACAAGATCCACCATGTTCACTGAACTGTGACGAATGCTGCGCATTTAAGATGGTCCCTCCACCGTCCGATTATTTACAGGAGCAGATGTTATCTGAACTGGTATTTCAAACCATTTTTACAGTATTTATAGTGAGGAATGCAATCGCCGAGGGCACAAAATCTAAGCTTCTGTCCTAAACTTTAAACACAGGGAAATAATAATGTTAAATGATTTTAAGCATTAAGAAGATTAGGTGTGTTTGTGAATTTATTTCAAACTTGTGTCCTTTGTTACAGTGTAACAGCCTGACTGTAAAATATTAAGTGCATACTGACACCAAAGTGCTTCAACTATTCTAACACCAGCCAAATGAACTTCTATTTATTGATTTATGAAAAAGTCATTTGGATAGAATAGCCAAACTTGTCAAGCATTTTGGGAATAGTCTAATGTAGGTGTTAAATTTGCTGTAAAACTTTGTCTTATTCTTACATTTGATGTCTTTACCTACGTATGATGGAGTACAACAACTTGATGTAGACAAAGTGTGAACAACAAAAAATTCCTTTTCACTTGACCCGCCTCCCCTAATGAGAGAGGACCTGAAGCAGAACCTTTTATGGCAAGTGTTTTTGAGCTCCCTGTGTGGAGGTACACTATGTCTTTACTTTATTGGAAAGGCTGTAAATATGACACAAAAACAACTGGTAACTACGATACTGTATTTTCAATTAAAAAAAACATGTTTTCTGATTCATTTAAATTTGAACCAGTTCATTCTAATTTCTATTTGGACGACCATTATGTTTTGTCCATCTCAAACTGAAACTGTTGAAAGCTGACCTATTCGTCTTCAGTATTCTGTAAATTAACAACATTGTTTGTTCCAATGCGAAAGGAAACTGATGTTAGCGCCTGTTTCAAGACATACAAATAATTGATGGTGCTTTTCAAGAATTCTGCAACAAGATAAAGTGCTTAGAGTTATAAGGACAAGGAACAAGCAGTGGTTATTCATGGACCCCAGAGGACGATCAATTGACAGATCTAGAAATCTTGATGTCAAATGAGAATAAAATACCTCAAAATCTTTTCTTACAGTCTGTAGTCTGTTGTTTATTCCTGAAAGTTTTTATCAAAAAGAAAACGTTTGATATAAGTTCACTCCTTATTTCAAATTGGCTGTTGAAACCATCCACTCAACGTGTACCTTTGATGTTAAATTTCATATTTCTGATAGTAGTTCAGTCATAAAAATGTTGGTTCTTAAATGCTTTACAAACTGGGAGACCGGGGTTAAAGTAATCTCAATGATTTTGTACATTGTTCTTTCCCTACATCTCAGTTTTATTCTTGTTAGCTTTAAGAGAACTGCACGTGTTGAGGCCAATGATTCTCACCACTGACTGGAAAACATGCTATAAGGTACAATGAACATAGAGAACCAGGTTAGACCAGGAGAGAACTGAAGTACCCTCTTGTTTTGAACAATTGCCTCATTTTTTAGTAGACTTATGTAGCTTACTATCACCTGTTCCTACCTATCCCTCTGCAGCATTACTTAGGAGGACTTCAGGGATTTGAGGCCCTGAAAGAACCAAGATTTATTTTCTCTGCTCACTTCTTATCAGCTGTGGCCAATGTGATACCATGGCTTCTTGCAGATGGAAGATGCTGCTTTTATTGTTATACAGGTAAAGATGTACTCCAGTCCCTAGCTCATCAGCCTACCAAAATAGGTAGCTTTTGTTAGATTTATCAAGTGAATGCAGCAGTGTTTGTGAGGAGCAGCTGTGATCTGTTCTGCCCCGCACCTCCTCCTTCCTCTCCTGAGGCCAAATGCAAACTGGCCTTTATCGTGTGTGTCATCTTGAGAGGAGAGGTGTGATCTGTCTTTCAGACAAACAACATTTTGAAACTGATGGAGGCTTGGAAGCACTGATTCCCTGTACCTGAGATGTTTTATGTATTCTACATTAGTGCAGTCTGAGAGTTAATAGAAAATTGAGGGTCAGTAGTTAGTGTAACTTTTATTTGTGAAGGCTTTAGAGTTCAAGCTTTATTTTTGAGACGTGTAATGAGTCAAAAAGTAACCTACCAATGTTAACATGTTATCTGTGGAGGTTAGATGTGTTAGTAACATACATGTAGTCTTAGTAGAAGAGTTGTACATTATGTGTTTGTCTGCAGAGAGAGGAAACAAACTGCAGTGAATGAACATTAAAGGCACATTCTGTCTATTTAATGGGACTAAAATCATGCTAATGCAGAAGAACTGCAAAGGAGAAAGAAATGGATTGGCTTTGTTCCCTGTTGGGTAAGAAAACCACAAACTGGGGAGGGACCTATAGCTCTTTCCTTTATCAGTGAAAAACACTAAATGGTAGAATAAACGCTTGGTTACATTGTAACCTTGGTTCTCTGAGTGAAGAGGGTGTCCCTTCACCAAACATATTTCCAATATGGGAATTGATTCCATTCAGGACATCTGACGTGGACAAAATCTTTAAGACACACCACTCCCAAGCCAGAAATATTCAATTTGAGCGCAGGAAACTCCATTACCTCGAGTGAAATTATAGATGTCAGTGGGTTGTACATTTAAAAAAAACATTTTATAAAAAAAACTATGCTTACAACAACAATTGATGCATTTGCTGTAGTCATTTAAAAAAAAATGAATACAAAAAAATGTACATATCATAAATTACATGAATCCTAAAAAATAGAGGTTGCCACATTGGAGTACATGCTGGGTGATTCAACCTACTATAAAGCTCTTGTTTCAAGAAAAGATAAAGTTGAGCACATCTGCATAAGCCTCAGCTTTCATTCTTGTTTAGCACTACAAATCATGTTATCATGTTGATTGTTAACATTCCTCTCCAAACATTTCTATGACCACATTTTGATATTGACTGTGTTGGTTGTGTGGCAGGAGATTTTTACTCAGCAACAATTACATCATTCTTACAAATGTTGATTACTCTCTATTGATTGATTCACTTTTGATTGACTTACAAAATCAATAAAGTATAGCTATTGAATTATTTACAAAATGATTGACATTCAAATCGATGTGATTACCAAACACACTTTGTTTTTAATGCATTTATCAAGGAATGCTTACATCACTTTTGGACATCAGTGGCACATGAATAAAACATAGGATTACTGAAAACCTCTTTATGTTAAAAAAGCCCTTTGGAAATAGGCACATAACTTGGAATCTGTTTAAAGGGAATTTTGATAAGGCAAGTTGACAAAATGTTGTGATGTTTACTGAGAGCGGAGCACAGCTTGTTAGTCTCTCTGTTCACCATCTTTACTGTGAAGCATGCTGATTGAAGCATCTTCTTATACATTTCTCACAAGACCATGACCACCAAAACAAAAGAGATCTCAACACTGGAACAACTTCAGAGCAAGAGTGTGAAAGCCATGCAGAGACCATGACTAAAACCCACCTTAAATCCAATAAAACTGGGAATTTACCTGAATGTAGCAATTTTCTGCTAAAGAAATGTGCTTCTTGTGTTCAATGTGTTTGTTTCCACCTTCAGGGCAGTGCAGAAGTAACTTTATAGCACATTGTTCTTGGTTTTTAATCTACATTTTGAATCTTTAGGATATTGTGGCACTTTTTACAAGCACATTAACCCATTTGATGTCATTTCTAAAATCACAACACAAATAAAACTCAACTGGTTGTAGATCCTTAATGTTAATTTACTCAAAGGAAGGGTTAGCACGCCACAAGGAAGTACAACCAGTCAAGGAGTACATAAGAAACAGAAACATTACCAACAAATAAAGACATTTAAAAGTTTGTCTTTATAAACATGTAGCTTACATTAGTCAGTAGGCATGATTTCTTTATTTGAAATATTTTATAATAGAGACTTTTCTTTTTTTAAAAACAGCTTTTGGGTCTTGGTATTAAGATACTCCTTCCATGCAGCCGTTTTGTATTCTTATAGTGATGGAAAGCGCAACTTCAAACTTCTGTACCTTGATTTTGAAAATCAGCTCAGATCTATTTTGACATTTTCCTTGGTTCTTTCTTAACGATTTGTGTATTACTTCAGTTAAATTTCCTCGAAAAGTTTCCTTTCGTGACTGCGTTGACATAACATTTCTTCAGACCAATTTCAGCTTCCTTTTTTATATCGGCTGTTCAAAGCGTCCTGAGAAACTGCAGATTGGGTAATAGTGATTGTGTCCTTTTAAACTGACCTCGTGAGAGTTTATAAGATTGAAAACAATTATTACTTAATATAACACAATAATCTACAGATAGTGTCTCTATGAATTTATTGCTAGGACTTCTTAAATGTACCATAATTTTTTTTAAAGTTATTTTTAAATGTCTCTGAGTGAACTCAGTTATTTTCACATTTTTTTGTTAAATTATTCTTTGTCAATAAAAAAAAAATATCAACACTGTTAAGGGTTAGCTGTTTATATTATTTTAATACAATGGAAAGATACCTCAGCTGTACTATGAAGTGATTATAACCATTTTGCCTCACTTGTTCCCTTGTGTAGAAGAACTTACTAAAGTTAACAGGCAGATGATGCAACCAGCAAGTTTTGTCGCTAAAAAGAATCATCATGAGTAACAAAAGAGAGGCTGAAAAAAAGAAAAAGAGGGAAAACAATAAATAAACTAATTTTTCAGCTCACTGCTTTCTGTTATAAGATGATAAGTTTGACAACCAAATACAGTCAGTGCCGTTGAAATCCCAATGAAAACACTTTGCTAACTTTGCTGTTACTTCATTAACTTCTTTGGGTTTTTTTCTTTCTCTTCTATCTTCTTCAAATTCTGTGGCATTCATCATTTTTAAACCCTTAGAACCCAAATCTTCCCTTAGTGGTCAAATGAACATTTTCAAATGGCATATGGTGTCTAATTGAAGTACACAATGTACAGTAAGGCAGCCGTGTAGCAGATGTGATTATGTAACTCTGAAAACTAATGGTGCTGTCTGAGGTATGTGTTAAGAAGGAGGGCAGCGGCTGTGAGCCTGTCAGGTCATTTTATTTTCATCCAAACAAGCATACGTAAATGTTCTTCCTGAACACTTCTGGTAAAAATATGTTGCCTAGATGTTAAAAGTAATGTGACATCAAACCTACAGAAGAACTTTAGACATACTCTAAAACATTTATGTTTCTTCTTTAATGTTTTTACATCCTACAATTCTACAATTAACTTAGCAGATGCTTTTATCCAAAACGACGTACATCAAGATTAAGTACAACACAAGCAAGAATCTAGTAAAAAGGAAACAATCCATACATGGACTCTGAGTAAACACTTCTGCGATTCATTACGGGTGGGAATCACCAGAGGCTCCATGATAAGATATTATCACAATACACAATACTTAACTGCTTATTATACCCAAAAAATTAAACTAAATCAAGAACTGTTGGTCAAATAAGACAAATTCTCAGTCTATTGATCTCACTTCGGTCTTTTTATTTCTATACAATTCAGGCCCACAGACTGTGATCAAAGTAAAACCCTGTAAAAGGGTTCATGCACCTCACAATCTGAACTGTTGATATTTCAGTCTAATCAAACTTGAACATGAATGTTTAACAATTAAACTTGTCCAAAATAAATCTTGCAACCCTTTCAGCAATTAAGTATTAAAAAAGCATAAAAAAATCATATTAAAAATACAGATACTTGGTGGCCATGAGACGATATAATATTGCCACACAGAATGCTGTATCGATTTATTCCCCCACCTCTACTATTCATACAACCTTTACATTTAAAAAAAAAAGTTCTTCCCGTAGTGTGAATATAAATAAATAAAAGATTACAATATTAATGTATTCTGTTTCATATTAAACTTTATAGATCGTTATCTGAATGTATTGTGAAGTTTTTTGGTTAATAAAGATTATTACGATTATTATTATCCTTTATTATTCCCTCAAGGATTAATAAAGGATATCAAAATTACATGAAAGTTTTAGATGGGCTCATGCGTTTTGTACAATGTTTGACTACAGGATTGTTATTCCATTCTTTTGTACACAGTCATGAAGTCACAGGTGTGATGGAGGCAGACAGAGACGT